TATTTGTAGCAATAGCCAAAAATACATTGTATGGGTCAAAATTATTGATTTTTCTTTTATGCCAAAAATCATTAGGATATTAATGTAAATATACTGTAAATATATCAAAACTTAATTTTTGATTAGTAATATGCATTGCTAAGCACCCTCAGATTCCGGATTTTCAAATAGTTGTATCTCGGTCAAATATTGTCATATCCTAACAAACCATACATCAATGGAAAGCTTATTTATTCAGCTTTCAGGTGATGTATAAATCTCAATTTCGAAAAATTGACCCTTATGACTGGTTTTGTGGTCCAGGGTCACATATGCTGATTTGGTGCTCAAGAAACATTTCTTATTAGTATCAATATTTTCATGAAAATTGTGATACATGTTTTTTCAGGGTTCTTTGATGGATAGAAAGGAATCGAACAGTATTTTTTTGTAATAGAAACAGTAAATACTTCTACAAAGAATGTAGAAGTATTTACTGTCACTTTTGATACATTTAGTGCGTCCTTGCTAAGTGAAAGTATTAATTTCTTAAAAAAAAAAACTTACTGACCCCAAACTTTTGAACGGTAGAATACATGTTTGGATTAACTATTTCTTTAAGTGGAACAGGATGATTTAAATGATAAACAGGATGATCTATTTTTTTTTCACCCTCTTACAGTGCCTAGCAAGCCAGCAGATGAAAATGGGTTGCAAGTGAAGCGCCGGCGAGTCACAAGAGAAATGGAGGGGAAATATATCATTAACATGCCAAAAGGCACAACAGCTCGCACTCGGCGCATCCTGGCACAGCAGGCCAAGAAAGGTGCCCTGAGATAGTATATTTGTTGAGTCTAATTTAAACTAGTTTAAAACTAGAACTGCCTAACTGAAAACTTGAAATGATACAGATGAGATTGATCTTATAATTTTCCCTTTCTTTACCACAGCTAAGGTTTTAAAGCGTACTTCAGTGTTTGATAGACTTGGTGCAGAGTCTAAGGCAGACACCACCTCAGCCAATAAGGTGAGAAATTGTATTGTATTGATTTTGTCCATCAGATAAACAAAACCGCAAAAACCCAGACACTAAGAATTGTTTTCTCTTTATTACACACATCATCGTTTAATGACTCTGTAACACTACAGTAACATTCATTTCGATAATATCAGCAATGAACCATTTTTTAGATCATTGATTAATCTAGGTTAATGTTATTTCCTACATGTACTATTGTTAATTCTTGTTTGTTGATAATACATTAACTAATGTTGATTTTTACCACTTAAAATGTTATAAATGTATTAGTATATGCAGAAATTAACATAAACCAAAATAAATAAATGCTGTAAAAAATATTATTCTTTGTTCACAGAGCCGATCCTCTCTATACGCAAATACGCAAGCTGCGTAGGGCCCCCGAAACACCAGGGGGCCCCCTTGCTCTCAAAGATGATTTAATTTTAGTTTCGTTTTTGAATTTGGCCAGCGGTTATGAAAACATGAATGATCATTTCTTTTAATGCGGTGCGCTGTCGCCCTTTCTACGTAAAAATAAGTCAAATGATGTAATGGGAATGTCGTATAGTCTTGCTCGAGACTAAAATAACGAGTTGAAAGCGTACCGAGCCGCGGAAGAGACACTGTTTCTCAAGCACTTTCCGCGAGCACGATTCGAGACGGAGTGAAACATGGACAAATGCGTTTCATTAATTCGTTCATAACCACTCATACCCCACTCCACCGCATAGGGTAGGGCCCCCAGAAGTCTAGGATCTGCACTGTTCGTTCATGATTCCTAGTCCTGATTTTTTTACATCACTACCTTCCTGGCTCTTTTTTCATGCAGCAGCCAACAGGTGTGTTTAGCCGACTGGGTGAAGCAGAGGAAGATGAAGAGGGTGGAGAAAAGACTGATGGTGTTGCAGACGTCTTCGAGGACAATGACAGCGACGGTGAGGGCTCAGTGCTGCAGTATGCCGGTGTCCTCAAACGACCCCCACCCACTTCTAAAAAAGAGACTGTAACCTCCAAATCTAAACCCTTCACTCTGCGTCGACTAGGTGCAAAGTACAAACTCCCCTCATCTGAAGGCACACCACCAATCTCCTCCTCTACCTCCTCCTCCAGCCAGGAGGGGACACCCAAATTGGGTGTACTGCAGAGACTAGGCAAGGTCCCGTCATTCAACCCTACCTTCTCGACCCCACTAGTCAGTCAGCCTGCAGACACCCAGGACAGTCGCGTTACGAGTAGCAGAAGCAAAGCCCAGGGCAGCTTTGCTCTGGCCAGCTCTAAGGTCAGTAGTAGCACCGGTGACACTCACGGGGCTCGGATGGACGCTGGGGCAGTCAGTGTATTCAAGAGACTGGGTGCCCGGAAAACCTAATGCCCAAAAAACTGAAAGGGCACCCCTTTTTTTATCCAGCTTGCCCCTTTTATAACTTAAAGGGGTCATATGACGTTGCTAAAAAGAACATTATTTTGTGTATTTGGTGTAATGCAATGTGTTTATGCGGTTTAAGGTAAAAAAAACATTATTTTCCACATAATGTACATTATTGTTTTTCCTTTATGCCCCGCCTTTCTGAAACGCGTTGATTTTTACAAAGCTCATCGGTCTGAAAAGCGAGGTGTGCTCTGATTGGCCATGTGTGCCACGAGACAAAACCAGTAAACCCATTATAAACGAGGCATTTGTTGCATCCAGTGGGGACATAATTACTGATTACAATGACTTATACTGTCTTTTTACGCGTTGCGTATCGCGCCGCGTAAACATAAAACCATGTCTGCATTTGT